AATGTATGTACAAAACAGGATTTTCCCCTGATTTTAGCTTGTGCGGCTAATATTCAGGTGCGCTTTGTAGTCTGGGAAATACGGTACTTTGATGTTCACTGGAAGTTATTCTTCAGAGATTACCCCCCACCCAAATTGCTCAAATAACTGAGCATATTCATAGCAGACTTGTGACATGCTGGTACTTGTGACATGATGTTACTAGCTCATTACGTCCTACAGGGTAGGCAAAAAATATTTCTATAAAGTATTTAAACACTTCTACATTTCTTTAAATAATTTATCAAACGTCTAAAAATTTAACTTGGCAGCGATTCATTTTTGTTTAATTTATTTTTTTTATTTAATTCACAATAAAAGCCTCAAGAGTTTGCAAAACTTTTCAAAGGAGCTAAAAACCATAATATAAATCTTTTAAAACCGTTTCTGACTTGTGCTGGTTTTACTGGAAATTATTTGTAAACATGAGGTTATATTGTTACTCTTCTTTTCCCCCATGATAATTCTAATTCTCTATTGTGAGAATTGTTTTAATTGTTTTTTTATATAGCACTGAGGTTCACAGAAGCAGGGTTTTAGGAAACATAAAGTCTAATTGGTTCATTTTTGGAGACTGTCAGCAGTGGTTAGCGGTGATTAGCAATTTAAGCTTACAATGTAGACGGCCTTCCACTGACATGCAGCAGCGGGAGTGTTTTCCAGCGGCTAGTTGCGGTGGTGGTTAGCGTGCCTGGCTCTCCTTTCTCCTTAACACACACAGCTGCTTATCTGACGATCTGCTGCTGCAGCACTCCAGCTGTCCCAGGACACCCCATGCTCCCTCCACATAAACACATGCTATTCACTTATAAACTTGCTGCTTCGTCCCCTCCTCATCCCAACCTCGAATCCCTGAGTCCTGCGCCCCTGTCAGGGATAATTTCAGAGCCAAAACCAGTTTTATCATTGATTTAGTAATCCTATTGGCTTTTTATGGGTGAGTTAATGGCTTAAGTTTTTAGGGGCTCAGTATAATTCTAGGAATCTGCAAGTTCATGATAGAACAGAGGAAAAGGAGAATTGAATTGCTTGAAGATGGAGAGATGCTAAGACCCTTCTTTGCTAGCTCTGAAGGTCCAAGAGGAGAACACCCCTCCACTTCTGGCAGAGAGAGGTGCCAAGCTTAGCCTAGCCTGCAGTCTGAGGAACCAATTAGAACTGTTTATTTGAGTTGTGTCATTAGAAGCTAAGAGAAAAGCTCCTTGGTTGAGAAGAAGGAAAGAAGGGAGATTTTGGGGGATAGAGTCGGTCAGAGAAGTAAGACTAGCTGAGGGCCCCGGTTATCCTTAGGTACGTCAGAGAAGGTATCCCTGTCTGCGTCAGGGGTTCCACTCCATTTGCAGTGTAAAGACAGGAGCAAGCTGAGGAGAGTAAGGGGCGCAAAACAACCCTTTCTTCCCTCCATATGCGGCAGGGGTATTTTGGAAGGAGTTGCCATGGTTACTCCTCTGGTCTGGGATTTGTAACGTGATAGCTGGCTGCCAAACCGCAATCTCAAAGAGGGAGGAATTGTGCTTGCGTTTGCGAGTGTTGTATGAAAGGTCTGTCTGTGTGTCTGTATACGTTGGGAAAGGAAACCAAGGGAAATATACTTTCTTTTATATCTTTTCGAGGTATTATGCACTTGTTTGTGGGTTTTCAAAGACCTTTCGATGTTTTATGACAGAACTGGTCAGGGTCGTACCTTGCTATTTCAAAGGTTGTAGCATTTCCCTGTGGATTTCCTCAGCAACCTAATGGCAAACATACACACACACACTTTTTTTACCTTCATCTCCCACCCACTTAGGGGCCTCCACTTAGCCAGCGTGGTGGAGGTGGTGGTGGGGTGTGTTTTACAACCCTGCACAGGGAAAGCCCTGAGCAGTGGGCTGCCCGGCTAGTGATTACTAGCTACACGTACCACACACACATAGGCATGGACACACACTCACAAATGACTCACTACAGGGGAATGTTTCCCTTGTTTTTGAATGTCATAAACTGTTCCCATGGAAATGGCAGTTACTCAGAGGGCCTGTTGACTTGACCACTGCGGTCTTATTGAGACTAGAGTTCTATGGGAGAGATGGACCATCTGATGCGCTGGTTAGTATCCGTCATCATTGTAGTTTTTGTTGTAATGTAAAGATGTGTATACCTGTATCTAGGGCCTCAAAAAATCTCTTTGATTTATTTGAAGTTAAGTCCCTAGCCTGCCTCCACACACATGTGGTATCCCTACACATGCACGCACTCAGCAGTTACCCGGTTCCCTGACTTTCAAACCCAGAGAGGTCTGAAAGGAATGAGGATGATGTCATCATCACCTGCAGTTGTGAAAGAGGTTAACCAGCACTACATGGTAAACAAGATTGGTTTGTCCTTTTCCACACATTTTCAATTATAACTTTGGCTTTTAGCCACTATGAAGAGAAGATAACCCTTTGTTCGTTTTTTGCAATAGTTCACTTTCACCTCGTGTTCAAAGTTCAGACAAACCACTTTAGTTTATCTGAAGCCAAGATTCCAGAAAGGGAACCTTTGGATAGAATCAGAATACTTTATTGATCCCTGGGGGAAATTATTTAATTAATTTAAATAATTAATTATAGCAAAGATCCATCCAGAGAAATTGAAAGAACACATAAACTTATTTTGTTCTTTCAATGACTTGAAATTGTGTAATGCTGAAGTTAAGGATCAGCAGTGGTAATGCACTGGAAGTCTCCTGGCAGTCCATGGACCGCTCATCTACCTGTAGAGAGTGTCTGTTGTCGATAGGGACAGCGTACAAAGTATGTGGTAAAACTAGTCTGTGGGAAACTCTTGCTTGTACTGTTGTTGGTCAGTCAGCCAGCTGCTGAAAATATACAAAAAGCTTATTTTTTCCCCCCCATCTCCTTTTTGTGGTGAACTTCACTGTCACTGCTTTCGCCGTTCTGGCTCACTTGTCAACCAATTAGTGTTCAGCTGACACATGTTGTCATCCTCGTCCAGCAACGTGCAGTTGGGATTTTTGAGGACTGCATGGGGAGTACGTTTGCTTTGTTTAAAACCCCTCTCCATACCACTCCCTAGGGAAATGCATACGCAAATGGACATATTTGTGGTAGCACAAATTAAGCTCAAGTCCACTGCTTCCTGGGCTTTTGTCACCCTGTGCTCGTCCCTTGTTGTTTGATGTAGCTAGGGCTTCTTGCTTAAAAAAACAAAACAAAAAAAGAAAAACACTCTCTAGACTCCTTAGTGTTGTTCAGAAAGGAATGGAGCACACTGTTGTAATTTCTGGGCAGATAATTAGTGCTTTACACGTTTTGTTGACTGACTCGTAGTACAGCTAAAAATGTTGCAACACTGCCCACAGAGAATAATACTGGTACCATACTAGAGACTATAAGTCTGTAACTGATAAGCCATAATGATATTCATTTCTTTTAACATTATACTGTTATTTTTGCTTAGTCATGCTCTCACTATATTCATAAATATCATCACTTTGTCCCTATGTTCTCTTTCTAGTTTACCTTCAAAAGTAATACCTGCTGCTCTTTCTCTTTTTCAGGGTCCAACAAGAAAAGAAATCATCTAAACCAGAAGGTTAAGCAACCAGATTATAAAGTAGCCTACGTTCAGCTGGTGAGAAAACATAAACACACACACTTATCCTTCTACTCCTATCTCTTCTGGTTAGTGTGTAGTGTAGCTATAGCTCACAGACTCCTACCCAGTACACAGTGCAAGGCAGAGACCTCACCACAATAACGCTCTCTTTTTTTTTCTTGGACGGCCAGCTGTGTGTGTGTGTGTGTGCGCTCGTGTGTGTGTGTGTGTGTTTCTTACTGTGGGGGCATTTTGGGGGCATTGAACTTTAATCTTTTTTTCTTGTGGGCTTTTTTTAAGGGAAGAACTGGGGTTGGTTGAGATGGGTATGTTGCATTGCCCTGCAGTTGGCTTTGAAGGCTACATCCTTAATTCACTCTTCCTTATACACATGCTTGAGAAGTACAGTTTCTTTACCTGACATTCTTCCTTTGTTCTTGAGAATAAACCACGCGCATCATATTATCTCATATCTATAATTTGAATATTTTTCCTGTGCACCTCACCAGGGCTTTGCCATATCCTACTGTACATGGTAATCCTGGAATAAATGTTTACGTGATTGAAATAAGTGTAATTTAAATTATAAAGCTACACCATGAACCGTGAAGAGCGCGCAAAACAGAGCAAGGCCAGATATGTCTGAGAGCGAGAGCAGCATGTCATTTTTTTGAAGAAAATTTACTACCTGAAAGGAGAGATACTTCAGGAGTATGGAAGCCATTTGGCTGCAAGAGGTCAAGCCTCAATCAAAGCAAGGGGCTTTGCAAAATATGCAAGAAAACTGTAGAAATAACAAACTTATAATAATTTTTGAGGCAGAAGCACACCATTGAGTAGATGAAGCTATGATGGCATGTGAGGGGGAGATACTAGCAGCTGGTGAAGTAAACAAATGAGTCAACCGAGCATCAGGGGAACACTCGCTGATTGTGCTCCATATGACAGGAAGAGCAGATGGTGGATGAAAATTACTGATGCAGTTTGTGCATCAGGTGGACAAGGAGGGATTTAAGCAGCTGGGCAAAAAGCTTGACCCAAGTGGCAACATTTTAGTTAGGAAATAATTTTTAATTTCCATTTTATTATGTGACAATGTTGTGCAGCCTCTTGAAGAGCTACAAGATGAAATTACTTTAGTTATTGTTAGACTAAAATGTTAAGCCATCATGTTATACGTTTATTTGCAATGTCCAATGAAAAAAAACAATCTATGCTACTTTTGTGCTTGCTTTTGATTTGTGCTTTGTCATGTTATCAATGATGGTAGCTCATTCCAAAAGGATGGATTGCAAGTTGTTATCGCAGATTAAATTTACGGTATTATCACAAACATCCTTGAACAGCTACATCAGCTACAGCTCCCACCCGTACGGCTCACACGCTCGGGCAGCCTTCTTGAAAAATGGGTTGGGGTAAAAGTTAAGCGCAAGACAGTCTCTTTGGTTTCATATGAGACTTTTTACAACAAATATTGAGATATGGTTGGATGGAGCAGTCATGTTCACTTAGAAAGCTGTTGCCTCCAGACCTTTACGTGAGTATTCTTGATCATTTCACTAAAGCTTAAAGTCTGTTAGTATTTGTACATCCCTCACCCACCACTTGCAAAATAAAACATCACTAAAGTCACCTTATTAATGGCCCTTTGATCTGTATGAAAAGCAAGTTTTGTGCAATTTTTGTTTTGTGACTGCTGTTTTGATCTTGCCCAGGTAAATCAACACTGGGGTAGACACTTGTATATACTGCACCGCCCACCCGACCGGGTGCCATCAATCTTGAAATGGATGAATAATGAAAACTGTCTAAACATGACAAAAGAGGATGAAAAAGAGGATACATAATTGAAGCAGCCATGAATCTTTTAAAGGGGAGACTTCCTCTTGTCTAACACTAAGGCAGTGGCTTGTGATTTTGTGTGTGGCAGGAATTCCCAGCACAGTTAGTAGTGACGCTTCTGTCTCACCAGACATGCACCACCATTGTAGGTAGGAGGATGCAGAACACTGCGCACACTTGGGTACACACACCTGTGACATGTGCATCATTCATGCATAATGAGCCCTAGAGGATAGATGTTTTTCTTTGAGTGTCATTTGCTCCCTAGTCACATTCATGTTGCAGGTTTGTCAAGTCGTGCACACTTAACTGCATGCAGAAATGAAGATTTGCTGTCTCTTTGCTGCTAAATGGCTAGATATAAAAACCAAAACCCTGTCTAATTTCTCTGGCTGATTTTTGTAAAAAACATGCTCTCTCCTCACCCTTTCCTATAGTACTTAACTTTCTTAAGTATACACGTACGCACACGTTCACACACTCTCAAACACAAAGGCCCAGAAAACTCTTGTTTCTTTTGCAGCAGTTGGTAGAAAACAAGATTGTGCCTAATTGACTCCACATGTGGAAGAGTTTTCTGTGGGTAGATGCTCACACTGTGGTACCCCCGTTCTACTACCCTCATCCTTGGCTCCCCCTTCCTCCCCCTTCCTCCCCCTGCACATCAGCTAATATTGCAGCAGTAATACGTTTGCCCCCTCTCTCATTCCTTACTCTAGGTTTGTGGTTGAGGGGAGGCCTCCCGTTTTGCAGGGTTCCGTGACGGCCATTTTCCTTAGGCTTAGGGGGCACCCCAGTACTGGGGGGGGGGGCTGTTTCTGCATGTGTGAAATGTGCATTGTGTGTGGGAAAGTGTGTACAAGTGTGAGGGGCTTTAAGGGTGAGCTAGGGAGGTGACCAAGGCCATGATGGAGCCGTGCCAGAGCAGGGAGGTCCAGAGACGGGGCAGAGCAATCAGGGGGAGGGGAAAGAGGCTCTATGTGTGTGAAACTGGGTGGTGGGTGCTGGTGGTGAGGTGACAAAAACAGCGGTACAAATCTTCAGTAAATCAGATTGCTTTTAAGCCTGACTGGCTTTCAGTGGGACTAATGTGTTTAAAATCAGACTGCTTTTATGCACCACTTGGCCCAGTTGAAGGCTAACTCAAGCCGATGTGCTCAGGGTAGGGCTGGGCGATATGGCCTAAAATCCATATCACGGTATAATTTGAAGCATGTGTGGTAACGATATATATCGCGATATATTCTTTTCTTCTGTATAACATATTTTACACACTATAAGGCGCACTTAAAATCCTTTAATTTTCTCAAAAATCGACAGTGTGCCTTATGCATGAATTCTGGTTGTGCTTACTGACCTCGAACCGATTTTATGTAGTACACGGCGCGCAGAAATCTGTCAAAAATGTTTTAGTACGACTTTGGTAAGCTATGAAAGAACACCGCTTGATGGATTGCCGGAGCATTACGGCTGCCGCAGTCAGGAGCCTCACGGAGTAAAATGGGTCCAAAACTCTGTCTGCTTCAGGTCCCAAAGTCAAACAAACACTGCGGCATCACTGAGAGTTAAAAACTGTCTAAATTCTTTCATCTTTAATAAAATGATCAGTGTTGCTGCTTTACCAGGTGTAACAATTAAGTTTAACATCCAGGCATCCATGAAAACAGAATTTATTAAATTCAATGGAGTTAGAAGTTAGCAGGAAGTTAGCTCGCTAATTTTCACCTAAACATGATATAGCATGTTCTGACTGAGAGATTTCTGAAAAAAAAATACAAATGTACAGCTCTGCTATCACTTCCAACATAAATGAAGAGAGAAAACTAAACAGCAGTGACATTTGCAGGGTTACTGAAGTTGGACTTGCTCGTATATAATGATGTCCTACGTGATTGCTAGCAAAACAGCTACGTTAGCATAACATTAGCGCAGTGAAGCTGAAGGATGAACGCTAACTTTTTCCACTCGATGAAATTTAACGTGAGGTTTCTGGTTGTTAGGGACAAATGCAATCGCATTGCATTAACATGAAACTTGTTCTTTGAAATTTTGCGTTTCACTTGTCCATTTAGAAAATTCACTGTAACCATTTTAATAGTTCATCTGTGCTGTTATTTTCCAGCCTAGGTTTTATTCTGTAAAATGTTTCTTAGAGATTTATTTAGACATTTAGTTTCGGGGTGTTTAGTGATTTAGTGATGAATGCTGTCATTTTTTTGATTTGCATTTGCCTTCCTAACTCCTATTCATCTTTCCACTGGATTGTAAATCACTTTGTGAAGTTTCTTAAAATAAGTCATCTGTAGCTAAAGCATTGGTCATGATTTGGATATTACAGTGATAGTTTACAGGTACCTGTTAAGAATTACTGGTACAGATGCTATAAATGATGTGTTAACAGTTGTCTGTAATCGTGTCAATGTCAATTTATGGATAATTATGGGGGTGGAAATGAAAATATGCAGATTGAGATTTATAAAAAAACAGATGTAGATTTTATTGAGTGTTTTCAATAACAACACCATATTAACAAACATATTTTTTGTCTCTGAGTCAGATTACAATCCTCAAAGTTGGTATTTAGTTAACATTATAGTGACATTTATAGTGTTTTGGTGAATAACTCTTTAAGTCACTTACTTGTCATACAAGATGCATCTTGCCAGCTTTTTAGGAAATGTTATTCTCTCTTCAATTTGTACTGAGTGGTTGTAAATGTAGTTGTTTTCACACAAAATCTTCAGATGGTTTCGGGGAAATAACACTTGACCTTTCTTACAAGTGATACACAGCAGGAAGTACTCTGCTACGTGGCTGCACAGTAGTGCCTGGAAAAAAATGCAACTGAGGCTAAATGTTGAAATTGCTGTTGAAATTCTTGAGAGAACTGTTTTAGTTCTTTAGCTTTTCTCTGCATTGCTTCACTCTTCCTGGATGCCAAAGGCAGAGGTTAACCCCTTAGCAGTCCAATTAGTCCCCTAAACCATCCAATGTACCGTGGGCGGTACGTCCGACTGCTAACAGGTTAACAAGAAATGCAAGTACAAATTATTATATTTCACTTACATGAGTCATGTATAATGCTTACAGAGATTTGGGAGAAAAAAAATTAATTAATTTTTATGTTCATAGTTGTTTGATTGCATCTCTTATACAGGAGAGGAAATAATTCTTTGATCCCATGCTGAATTTTG